CCCTCAGAATGTTAACGATCAGCTGACTGCAAAATGTATAAATCCTTTCCATCCCCCACCAGAATGGAAGAAGCTTCTTGGATGAGAAGTGAAATGACTTCAAAAAAAAAAAATCAAGAAAGTCCAGTTGCTTTTTTTCCCTTTTTTTTAAGCATGCTGGGACAAGATTGAAGCAACTGCTAAGAACGGGTCATCCTTTCTCTCCCCCACCTCCTATTCTCTAAGGCCTTAATGCTACAGGGGAAGTGATATTAAGCAGGAGAACTTCAATTAAGCCTGGTCCGAAGATACGTTCACAGGGTGTGATCCGGGGAAAATCTTGCCCTGAAATGGAACTGGAGAATAGATAGGAAAGTATTTTGTGGATCCTCTACGGAGGATGCATGCATCAGAGACATATCCAAAAGGAATTTGATTATTATTATTTTCGGGGACTCACATCCTGAGCTATTTTCCAGAGTTTTCCTCTTTCTCCTCTCAACAACTTGATTCCCATCCATTCCACTATGAATGGGCTCTTTAGATAAAATTGTTTCCCACATGCCAAGGCCAAGCTGGGCATTCTTGTTCCTTCTTAATCTTTTGTCAGTCATGATAAGCATAAATGTTGCGCTGAATCAGACCGAAGACTTGTCCAGTCTGGTCTTCCATTCCCATCATGTATGTGTGGGAAGGCCACAAGTGGAACCTAAAGCTACTTTTGGTCCAGTAGTTTTGAAGTAAACTTTAAGTAGATCTAGCAAATCTAACACCAGCTAAAACAATACTGAAATTCATATTAAATCTGAATTGTGTGAACAGAGCAAAATAAACTCCACTTCATTCTTTAGCATAATAGCCACCCACAGTATCTAAAAGCAGGATCTGTCCTGGAACTGCAGGGAAAGTAGCTGAGGAAATGATTGGCAGTCAACCTACTTATCAACATTCACCTCGGAAAGATGGAAGGCTGAGTCAACCTGGAGCCTAGTGGGATTCAAACTGCCACACTGTAGGCAGCTGACTGCAGAAGTAGTTTGTAGTACTGCACTCTAACCACTGCGCCACAGGGGCTCCATGCCAGGTTTGGGCAAAAAAACATTGCAAAATGCAGTCACATGACCACTGGATGCCCCAAGCAGGCCTAAATGCAGCCCCAGTTGCTGAGTCTCCAAAGTGCAGTCGTGTGACGCCGTGTGTATGTGAGAGAGAGAGAGGGACTGTGACTTCAGAACTTTGAATCCAGGTCATACGTACCACCCAAGTAGGGCTGTTGTAACTTTCAGTGGTTGCTAAGTGACAGATTGTAAGCTGAGGATTACCCATACATAAGAATGTGGGAGAACAAGAAGCAGAGATTCTGCTTTCCCGGGCAACTTGGTTGACAACTTGAGATGGCTTTCTTGGGATTTTTATTTTTCCCCTCTCTCTCCCAAAGATCAGGAAAGGCTTTGTTTATCTTGCAGGTACGATTTAAAAGATGACAAAAGCAGCTCCTAGTTTCCATAGTGCCTCCACGATCCAAGGACTTGAGTTGGCACCCTTACCACCACCACTGCTGCCGCCATCCTTCACTGCAAGATTCCAGGCTCATCTTCCGCTGGATGGGCTTCTTCAGTGTTTTTTGCTTTCTCAAGCAATCGTAGAATTGTGTTTCTTAAATCTTCTTTTTTCCCGTGCGGAACCAATAGGGGTAGAGAAATCGCCCCCGATTGGATGTTTTTTTGAAGGGAAGATAGACACGTTCTGCATTCACTTTGCATGCTTCTCTTAGCACTGAAAACCATACGCTGCCTTTCTTTTGACCAAAGAAATGGGCTCTTTTCATTTTCATTTTTTAAAAAAAATTTTCTCTTGGGGATGGTGTTCCTTATAGCTGTTGTGTAAAGCAAGCTGTTGCTTTCAGCAGCTAAAAAGACCCAAGGGCTGCCTAAAGTGAAGTTGGGGCATTAGGTGAAAAGATACAAGGAAGACCACCTGGAGGGTCCAAGTATTTCTCCTAGAAGATGATGGGCAAATGACCTCCTTTGAAACAAAGGTTTTCAAATAGGGCCAGGGCCGTCTTCAAATAGGAGAAGGATCAGTTATTTAGAAAGGGACCATAGTGGTGATAAAGGAGATTAGGGTTCTTGTCCTAACTGTCCTAGTAAGGTTGTCAGATGCCATTTTCTGGAACAAGGGAACAAGAAAAGTGGAGAAATGCAGTGGGGAAACAATTATTTGCAATGTTTATATTTTTCCCACATTGGGGGAATCCATGCCTGAGCACTATGCATTTAGCTGACACTCCAAGTGGGATATCCCATCCCATCTCTGCAAATCCTCATGAACTGTGATAGCAGGTGATAATCTTACCATGCCTTTCTTGTTCTTTCTGCTTCCTGAATTTTTAAAATTGAATCCGTTTGTGTTTTCTTCTCGGCTTGTTGCCCACTCTGTGCAGCCAATCTAAAAGGGCAGATTGCTTTCATAGAGTTATCTTTATGGATGCAGTTGCTCTAGTTGCTGTTTTTAACATGAATGTTGTTTGGTGCCTTCTTGCATTCAGGACTTTGATCTGGTGCTGAGAGCAAAGCTCTCCAGCTACACCAAGTTCTAGGACGGTGTGCATGCTGTAGCAAGGAAATTCTTAATCTGTGCTCCAAAACAGATTTACAAAGCCTGTCTACCTATATACAGTGATATTTGCATGATCTGCATTTTGATGACTTCCTTTGTACAGTAAGGAGAAAGATCGGTACAGAAACTGTGAGGAGATGATGCTTCAAGGAACCACAAAAATCACAAGAAACGAGATGGCCAGAAAAGACTTGTGCTGATTTCCAAGTTATATGGCATGATTTTTCTTAACTAGCATGGATAAATTTTTAAGATTTGCTACTGGGCTTTCCACATATATAAAACTAAAGCATTTTAACTTGTTTTTCCCCACTGATAAATCACTGCTTGCAAAATTGCAACACTGCACCATACAATGCCACTTTGGCAGGGATGGCGGCTGAGTTGAATTCCTCTTTAAAATAAAATTTTAAAAAAACAACTATTTTTATCCCACTCATACAACCATTCTCCTCTGGTGGGGAAAATGTGTGTGCAGCCTGCTCCTGGCATGACTTAGCAGCTGCATTGGGGTTGGCTTTATAGAAGTTTGTTTTTTGTGGTCTTGTTATGAAAAGGAACATAACCATGTGTTCTGTTTTAGAATGAATTTTAAAAATCATAGCTCGTAGCCCTTAGAAGCCAAATCCCACTAAGACGCCTGATGGTAGAAGTTGAATTCTTCTCCTGTTCTGGGTCTTACAAGGTGGAGCTGGTGGGCGACTCTGGAAAGCAAGAAAAGATGGACTTCCCAAAGCATCTCCTTGGCTGTCCTATCTTGATGTTCTGTTCCACTGAGCAGATTCTCTCCCAATTACCCCCACACACATACACACACTGTCAAATTCCCAATCGCTCTCCATGCATTTCTTCTATTCGCACACCGTTGCCTCTCATTTCTTGGGGGGAAAAAGAACCCCAAGGCCGCTCTTTGTAATTTATAAATAGATTTTTAAAAATTGCTTGTATCTCTTTGTACAATCATAGCGAATGTATCGGACACAACAACTACACCTCTCCACTGGATCTGGTGGTGCCGCCCCCACAGGTTTGCTGGCAGAGTCTGCCTGTTGGGGGTTGAATCACCCACTGCCTTCCATCATGCCAAACGGAGCTTGCCGTCTTCTTCAAGCAGGCTTTACCATGCAAGCGTGTTGCTGGCTTTTTGTGCCTCTCATAGCCACTGCTGTAATTTGTTGTAGCAAATAAACAAAGAGGAAAATGTGATCATGCTTCATAAGGCTTTATTTGACCCCCTCTGCCTCCAAAGGGATGGAAAGAAGGAAGCTGAGGAATTAAGACAGCATTGTGAGCCTTTCAACTTTCAAAACACTTTGCCAACATTTGAACTGTTGCCTCATGTTTGGGCAACGTGGTTCAAAGAAGAGGGCAAAATACATTTACAGATATTTTCATCCAATGGTTAGGTTGCTTCCCGCACTGTGTTCCTCACCTTTTATGATGTGGGTGAAGAGCCAGCTTTGGGTACAAGACAAGTACAATTTACATATGGCAAGTTGTTCCTAATACTTTTACTGTGAGTGACTGCAGCTTATGTGCCCAGCAGATTAATTGCCCTACCTTGGATTAATTATAGTAATCACTGATTACCATTCCCAATGTTTTTAAAATGGACACAAAGGCAGACTTTTCTACTATAAAAAGGCCTATTTAGAGGTATCGTATAAGGCCCAACATCTGCATAATCCTTTCTCTCCTACTGCCACCACAGGTGGAGGTTATTCAAGGAACAGCTGAAAGCTGACCATGGGCAGGATATTGTTAGCTTAAAGCTACTCTTACTGCTATTGCTCTTACTAGCCAACCCCACTGCATAACCTTTTTTAAAGAAAAATCTACAGAAAAACATTTATTGAAAAAGCTGATATTGGGAGAAGTCATCCATCTATGAGTGACGTGCCAATTGTTCCATTTTATTGCAGAGCAACAGCTGATTGTATGGCAAAAATAGGATGGTGCTAGTCTGAAAAAAAGATACGATATTATTTAAAATTTGGCTATTGAGCTATATTGCCATTCTTCTTTTATTAATAAGGAAAGATGGCATTGAAATCATTTATTTACATTTGCATTGATGAAAACCCATTCTGAATTTCTGATATCAGAAAGTTGATATATTGGACAACATTGCTTAATGAACTATATTATGGTACTCCCCACTTTGATCCAAAATTAAAATAATGCATGAAGTTTGAGGATCAATTCTAGAAGTAGGAACCCATTTTAGTTATTTAAAATTCTTACTACCCTACATCAGCTCTACCTAATTATCTCTTTAGTGAAAAGTCTGTCTTATCTAGTGTTGGATAATAAATATTTTGCTTTTTGGGTATATCTTGCAGATTTTTGGTTGCTAATCACAAGAATAATCTAATTTAATCTATCATGGCTAGTTTTTATAGAAATCTTCAGTTTTTACACAATTGCAGTGTACACCCTTCAGTACATGTTGGCAATGTTCATACATGAAAGAAACATGAAAACAAAGAATTGCTGTTGAAGCACACCCAGTACAGCAAGTACGTACAACTGGATTATCTGTGGTGTAACTGGAATCCATCAATGCTGGTTGACTAATGTTGGACACTGCAGTGAGATGCATCAGACACGGAGTATAAAAATCAGCAGTAAAATACTTTGGGCCCTGTTGAATTCATGTAGCATGTCAGAAACAGGCAATTAAATACCTTATAGTCATTAAAAGTTAATTCCATATTTCTAAATATTCCCACATGATACAGTCATTCTGAAATTATATTTGTGTTCAGTTTGAAGAGGGCTATGGTCCTCGCCAAAAGTTTTTCAGGAAGCAAAACTTGTAGAAAAAAAATACTGTCCATCAGAAACTGCATGGCACACATTTCACTTCCTGAGATTGCCTGTTCACTTTCCCCTGCTCGTTAATCTTACTCATTAGTCATTTTGATACATTAATGCTCAGTTCATTGCATGACACTGAGTACACAAGAGCTTAATGACATCGTGCACATCTTTCAGCTCTCATTACTCTGAAAACATCAGCATTCACTTCCTACCTATTCCAACATGAAGGAAATGCCTGAATGTATTTGACAGAGTTTAAAATAGTGTAATTTCTCTTGAGAACAGTATATCTATGGCTTAGCTAGCTGGAATTGCTGCAATTTCTTTGATGTATACAGATAATGCATGCATTTTGTTCTGCGGCTGGCATGATGTCGAAGCAGGTGACTTAATTCCTATTCTGTAAGGAAAGAGGACGTGCCCTTTAACAGGAGATGCCATCTCTCCACCCCACCCCACCCCAATTTCTACTTAGTAAGAACCTTGCCAGAATAATCCCCACCCCTTTCCATGTCTACCCTGAAGGTCATCTTCTCCCAAACTGGCATCCCAACACTTAGCTAGCTTGGTGTCAATACTTGGAAGCAAGTTCGGTTTCTAGTACTGAGGTCTGACCTTGAGTTCTCTGCATCTCTTCTTACTGATGGTACATCTCACAAATAGAACAAACTCAAGAACAATCTGCCACAGTTCTACAACATGACCTCCAGATAAGAGGAGCCAGTGTTGTTGATGCTTGCTTATCAGGAGTAAGACATGGAACCATTCGTTTAGCGATGATTCAAAGTTACAACAGCAGTGAAAAAAGTGACCTACGGCCGATCCTCACACTTAAAACCATTGCAGCATCTGCAGAATCATGATCAAAATTCAGATAGCAACAGTATTTATATACTGATCTACAGTGCTTTATAGCACTCTGGACAGTTTACAGAGTCAGCATATTGCCCCCAACAATCTGGATCCTCATTTTACCGACTTCAGAAGGACAGAAGGCTGAGTCAACCTTGAGCCAGTCAGGATCAAAGTCCTGGTTATGAGCAGAGTTAGCCTACAATACCACATTCTAATCATTGCACCACCAGGGCTTATGTAATGACCCGGGGCGTGGCACAAAAGCAACACAGTCACATAAGCAAGAAAAGTCCCTTGAAAACCTCCAACTTTGCCCCCAGTGTCCAGTTACCTTCGGCTGGAGAAAAAACTCTCCCAAGAACAGTCTTTAAGTGGAGGAAATTCAGTCCGAAAACAAAGTACATATAAACTGTAAATAAAAATCCACACAAACCACGCTGCAGCAATTAATTGGACAGGGCAGGATAAGGAATTGCAGACTTCAAAGGCCAACAAAACACACACAGTTAGGAAGACACCAGATAAGCCTCGACAATAAAAGATAACTCACAATTTGCTTCTCACAAGTTGCTGTGCTCAATCTCCCTTTTTAAACACTGTGTTCCTAACTGCAGCTAATGAAGGGAATCAGGGCCCTTTCCTCCCCATAAGCCACACAACTCATGTTGCTCTCTTCTCCGTTCCTCCATGCGTGCCCTAGGATGAAGAGGGGGTGGGCCTGGGTCTTCCAAATTCCCTCTGCCTTGCTTTACCTCTCCCCCTGCTCTGCCCAGCCGGACTTTGCCCTTCCCCAGTTTCTTCCACAGCCACCGGAGCCACACTCCCACTCCCTGTCAGCTGCTCAGCCTACCCCTCCAAATCAGATTCTGACGGGCATGACAGCTTAGATGCTTTGCAGCTGCCATGCATTTAAGATGGTTGCTGTGTCCCAGAGTCACATGATTTCCATTTGCAACCTTTTCAGCTGGTTTCCAGCAAGCAAAGACAATGGGAAAAGCCAGATTTGCTTAATGACTGCATGATTCACTTAAGAGGTGATTTGCTTAACAAACGTGGCCAAAAAAAAGGCTTTAAAATTAAAACTAGGCACACCTTGTTTAGCAACAGAAATTATGGTCCCAACAGTGGCCATAAGTCAAGGATGACTTGCAAATCTTGTTTGCATTAATAGCACCTATGTGAATGTATAATCCCTGCAATAACTGGTTGTATACATAGATAGGGAGCTGGTAGTTTTCCAGATGTTGCTTAATTGCAACACAGCCATCCTAACAAAGGATAGGGGAAGCTATGAACAGCAGTTCAGTGACATCTGGAGAGCTAAGTTCCTGTGTAGGATGTAACATATTGAGGAAAGTGTGAATGTGCAGGAATTGACTTGTTTTTGGTTTCTAGTACATCTACTGGGAGGCATGATGGAGGTTGCCTTCCCCAGTTGCAAAACCTATCTAAGGGACAGCAGGTTACGTTTATATATCTGTAAAAGGAAATAATCACCAATCACTCTTCGGCTGCCTTTCATCAGACTGACAGATGTTGGCATCGCTTTCTCCCTCACCTGTCAAATGCTGCCAAGAATCCATGGAAGTCCATAACAAAATAATAATATGTTGGTTTAAGAAAAAAAAACCTGAGGGATGTCAGCACAGGCCTAAATCTCCTTTAATAAGCGTTGTAATAGAAAGTAGTAGAGAATGTGGAAGAGGCTCTTCTGACAGGACAAGTGGGGTCATCATTAAATCCTCCGCCTAGCTCTCAGCTGTCCAGTCTTGTTAGCTTAGATGGCTGAGTGATTTGTTTGGAGCAGGCATCTGAACACTGCAAAAGTGTTCATTAGCGATTCCTTGTGACTGGGACCTAGGGCAGGCAATTCATGGCTTCATTTAACCTTGTGGTGAGTAACCTGTGACTCTAAGGCCCCGGGCCCATTTTAACACTCCTTGGGATCCTTTCCAACTATGACCGCTGAAAATCTACAGCCCAGTTCCCTAGCACTGGACCGCTAAAGTCCTAATTGAAAAACAATCAAATTACCAATAGCAGCTCCTGCTATATAGAAGTGTTTGTTTAAAAAAAATGCAGGGAAGGAAGCCCATAAAACTTGTGTAATCTACCTAACAAAATTTATAATTCTGCCTATTAACCGTCTGAATTGATTTTCACATCTTCCAATTATGCTTAGAGTGCCATTTATATAATCCCAAATTAGCCTAACATATCTTGAAGATGCTGAAACTGGAAAGGCTACCATTACAAGGAGGAGGAGGAGGAAGAGGAGGGGGAGGGGGACGAACCAAGCAGGCACAGCCTTCTGTGGGCACAGAGTATAATTGAACTATGAGCAATGTGACCCCTTTCCTGAAGTGAGGATAGATCCAGAAGGACCAGATCAAAATTCAATTGAAATGTAAATTCAACAAATAAAGTATAATAAGCTCAAGGGAGCTTCCCTTTCTTTTCTTTTATTCCACAATCAGCAATCCTTTGTGGAGGTCTGGGCTCAGAAAAAAAGTGACTAGCTCCAATTCATCCAATGGCTCTTTCTGGCTATCAGTCTGAACACCAATTTCCCCAGATCTAGTCCAAAACTTTAACCCCTACATGCTCCACTGGCTCTTTAGCCTCTGCATATTCTGAATTCTCCATTCTTTTCAGGTTCTCCACCTAGGCTAATATTTGCATGCAAATATTCCTGAGTGCCACAGTTAGGCTGCAAAAAAAGTCATATGATTCGCTAAAACATTTGTTATATATTTGTGCCAAACAAAGTATCCACCAATTATTTCCACCAATTATTTCCAGCCAAGCCCAACAAGTGTTCTTTTCTTCACTTCTGTCCCTGAATTTGCAAAACAGAGAACATGATGCTTACGGGGCTAATCAGGGAACAAGGATTCTAAAATGTTTTCCAGCTTTAAGTACTGTATGTTGCTACTGTTTCCCACCTCTGTTTCGTGATAAAGGAGCAGCCATGATTTTGGCGCCAAGACAGAAAGAAGGCCGGGGCGGAGGGGAGCCCAGTACAAGAATGACACAGCATCCCTCTTGAATAAGTAAGCCTTTGGCAGCTCCTCACCCTCTGCAATTGGGACAGAAGAAAATCATTTATTTAGAATACCAAGTAATCCAACCCATTTGCATTTAAGTAGAAGCCCCCCCCCAATCACCCACCCACCCACTTCACTGCCGTTTGCCTTCTGCTAGCCAGGATGGCTGGTGCAGAGAGCCAGAGGTTTTTGCTGAATGAGTTGGCTGGCTGGCTGGCTAGGTGCCATGGCCACGCAGACAGAGCCAAGGCCTGGCTGCTCAGAGAGGATGCTTAGCTGTAGCAAAGCCTTTGGAGATTGTTCCATCTTGAATGAAGGGAGGACCCAGCATTGCTGAAGGGGACCGAGCTTCCCATTTTTAGATGCATTCCCACTCCGTATGCAGCAATTCCTCTCGGGCTGACATCATTGTATTGACAGGACTATTTAAGCTGACCCAGGACAGACAGAAAGAGCTTGAGCGTTGGGACCTCGCCTTACACGTGCTGCTCCTGCTGCTGGCTGTGCCTCTGCTCTGTTTTCTCCAGGAGACTCCTCAGCAACATGCCCCCCAAGAAGGATGTCCCTGTGAAGCGGCCGGTAGCCCCACCTGCCAAACCAGCTGCTAAACCAGCCGGGCCAAAGCCAGGATTCCTGGCAGGTAAAAGCAAAGCACCAGAAACAGCCCTGGCGCCACCAGCACGAGCACCAGAGAAGCCTAAGGAGCCACCCATCGATCTTTCCAAAGTGGTGGTAAGTGAGGCCTGGAGGAAGAGTGAAGCTGCAGGGAACCCATTTCTTCCAAAAGGAAGGAGGACGCAACAGCCTCCATCTTAGGTCCTTTTCTCTCCCTCAAAAGCAATGCCTCAAGATTGCTGTATAAGCGTTTAACTGAGGGATGTGACACCTCAGAACCAGGCATGGGAAGAATAAACACACTAATAATTGGCAGTAAATATTTCAGACATGAAGTGTAGAGAGACTTGATCACAATTGGGACAAGCAACTCGGTCATTAAACAAAGTGGTGGCTAAAGTGAAACCGCAACTATGCTTATTATTTTACTTTAGCTTTCCTTTGCTTTACACATCTGCAAAGGTCACGCATGTGAGGATTGGTTACAAAGTTACATTTTCATCACCTTCACAACTGCAAACAGTTGTTATATGAGACAGGCACTAAAGGAGGAGACTACTTATAATCACATTATCAGGAGGAGGTGACTAAAGAAAGAATACATCCTGATTTAGAACCTGTTTATAACTCTGTTCCATTGATTTTATTCATCTTGCTGGATATAAATGCCAGAGTAACAACTCCGTTTGAGTTTGATTGATTTCTTCAGGCAAGATGTAGGCAACAGTGCTTAGGAAAGTTAAAGTGGTTTGAGAAGGGTATCACTTCCCATGTTTTGTTCATTGTTTCCCTTCTCTGGTCATCAGGTTTTGTTAAATTTTAAAATGCAAAATCTCTTTATCAGAGGTAAAATAAACACATGGAGCATGAACAGAAATATCTTTTTCAACCCACTAGATTTTGCGGGCAGGGAGAAATCAAATATATCTCCCTCTACCCTGACATGATGTATTTTTCAACATGTCTACTGCAGTTTCTTTTGAAAATTGGGCAGAAGAGCTGACAGTTTCAGAGCAAACATTGACTGTTCCAGGGCCTGCTTGCTTGAGAGAGAAAAAAACAGCTAACTTATGCATATCTACCAGACATCATCCTTCATGGTCCTTCTCTAGATTCTGGACTACAGCCTCCATCAGCTCTGGCCCTGATGGTTGGGAGTAATGGTAGGCACCACCACGGGAGCTTTGTAGTACCTTCAAGAACAGCAACTACTCCTATAAATAACTAAGAATCAGGCAAATGTCAGATGCAAACTAAGCCATTATTTTTCTATATGCAAAACTAATCTGGTTTTATTATTATTGCTAAATTCTGATGTTCATTTTGTGAGAACTCTGTCTTCCTTTAACTTGACTTGCTATCTTCCACTGGAAGAAGTTTGGTTTCTCCTAGGAGTTCAAGTAGTTTCTGAATTTCCTGTGACATTTCAAAATAATTTATTTTAGCTGTAGTCCTCATTTCTCAGAAAGACAATTGAGCTACTTTCTGAAATTAATTTTTTGTGGGACAGGAAGTTACAAAGTTGGTGGTACAAGGAGAATGAGAGAGTTATAATAAACAGACATTTCCCTAAAGTCGTTTTGAGTTCCCTTTGTAATTTGTAAGGTAAAAAAGAGATTTCGTTTTCACTTAAAAATTACAAAGCATAAAATTCGTTGGCTGTTTGTGTCTTTGAATTTTTGTGCAGCTGATTGTGTCCCTTTATTACATTCTAGATAAGTTAACCTTGCTTACTTAATATATCTCACTTGAATTGAAATAACAGATGCCACAGAAAATTATATGAATACAATGGCATAACTGTTTCAGTGGTGGGATTCAAATTTTTTTTACCACGGGCGTGGCTTGGTGGGCGTGGCTTGGTGGTATGGCAGGAGAAGGATACTGTAAAATCTCCATTCCCACCCCACTCCTGGGGAAGGTTACTGCAAAATCCCCATTCCCTCCCCCCCCCACTAACCTGCTTTCCAGCTCTATTCTCCTGTGCAGGGCAACAAAAGAAGACCCAGCCAATCAGCTGGGACTCGGGAGGCAGAGAATAGATGGGGGGCGGGGCCAGTCAGAGGTGGTATTTGCTGGTTCTCTGAACTACTCAAAATTCCCACTATCAGTTCTCCAGAACTGGTCAGAACCTGCTGGATACCACCTCTGAACTGTTTGCTTCTCAAGGCATCTGGCTAGGCAAAATTAGAAAGAGAAGAGAATGCTCAACTGATCTTTAACTTGAGCTGAACAGCCAAATCAATTGAATAAAATATACAAATAGTAAAAGTATTTGTATCTATCTGTAGAAACAAAGACTGCTATCCTTTTCTCTTTCTTTCTTTCTTTTATACAAGATTTATACAAATTCCTGTTTAATTTTTGTCTGTATGTATACATTAAATGACAAAGAATGACTATTAAGAATTCTAAAACAAGATCAGGAACGAATTATTATACATAAGTTCAACTGCAAGTAAGAACGTGGATCTTCATTCTGGTCTCAGTCCCTTGTACCAATGGC